GCTACACGAAGGGGACGGTGTCGAATTGGCATCCGGACACCGACTGACTGGCCCCAACTATGTCGATGCTGCCGCATACCGAATTAGCGCAAACGAGGCGAGCGACAAAATCGTGCCGACCCCAAATTCTGGCGAGCGATCATGTACATCAAGAACGTCTCTGAGGCCGTTTGTCGCCTTCTTGCGCCACTTGGGTTTGGAGTTGCACACAGACCGGAGGCCACCATAAGGCGTCAGGTGATTAGACCAAAAGACCCACTGCCACGACAAGAAACATCTGGAGTCGTTTACCGGATCTGGTGCAGTTGCGGACAAAGCAACCTCGTCGGAGAAACTGGAAGACTGCTCCGGACGCGAGTTTCCGAATACTTGGCAGCGGTGCGGAGAAATGACGTCAACTGTCAGGTTGCGGTCCGTTCGACGAGACCCGGCCACACATTCAAGTTCGATGAGGTCGAAATTCTCTCCAGAGGGGATAATCGCGTGAGCCGCGAGTTGCTTGAGTCATGGTTCACGGGACCTCAGTCTATTAACAAGTGCTACGACATTCCCACTCCATATTTCGTGCTGAGGCGTAGGCTGGCCAAGTAATTGACCACTCGGGGAGCGCGCAAGCCGGTGAGCCAGATGACCGAGCAATCATCACGCCATTATCCAACACGGGTGATGACATTTCAGAAATTAACAACTTGCATGCCAGCCATCAAGCAATTAGCGCACCAGCGGGAAACAATCCTTGATGAAGGGGAGCACGGTTAATTACCATAGGTGCGCGGTAGCAAAGTGACTGCATCCTATAAATACTGCAACTTCCTGTGCACGAGTCACCCTTTTCTGCCTCTGTCTCTGACGATGAGTTCAAGTGAAAATCCAAAACGTCAGGCGAATAAAGCCCTTGTTCCAGCGATCGCTTCTTCTTCTTCTTCTTCTTCTTCTTCTTCTTCTGCTTCTTCTTCTGACCAACTAGTTCCTGGAACTCGCATCTTCGCTCGTATGCCGATGGTATTGCCTTACTTGCTCCAGGTTTTGATGATATGCAGTCTATGATGTCACGAGTGAAGAGGTCGCTAAATCGGTCGGTTTCTCCATAAACGCTGGGAAGACTAAAGCGTTTTCAAGCTGCATGCCTGACCAGGAAAGGACAGCCCTCGGGATCGGTGGCTGTCGACCTGAAGTAGACAGTTTGAAATATATCGGGGCGAGGCTTCTGACTAATGGACAGAGTAAGGATGACATTGTATCCCGAACTGACGCCGCCTGACGGGTTTTCTCAAGCCTTCGAAAATGCCTATGGATCCGACGTGACCTCTCCAGCGTCACTAAAATTCGCGTGTACCGTGCATATGTCCGGTCTGTCCTTCTCTATGGTTGTGAGTGCTGGGCTTTGCGTGTGGAGGACGAGCGAAAACTGCAGACATTTGACCACCACTGCATGAGGACCATCCTTCGTGTGAAATTCACCGACTTCGTCTCAAATGAGACAGTCCGCGCTCACCGCGACAACATCGCAAGGATAACTCAGGCCATCCAAGAAAGACGACTGAGGTGGTTTGGGCATGTTCTTCGTCGTCCACCTCAGGAGCTCAGCTCTACTATCCCCGATCTGGCCCTGTTGCCTCATTGGAGGCGTCGAAGTGGGGGTCAACTCAAAACCTGGCTCGACCTGGTACTTGGACCTCCGGTATTCGGTCTCAGTCGTTGGCGAAGAGAATGGGTCGAGCTGTCCAGATCTGTTGCCGTGGGTCGTCATGCGTGGAGAGGTACAGTTCGTGACATCATTGAGGCCGGCTAGATTAGGTATAATTGCAGCTGCATTAACAAAAACAACACCACTAGAGTTAGGGTTAGGTCGAGGATTGAGTTTAAGGTTAGATTTAAAGGTGACGGTAAGGTAAGTAAGGATCTGATTTAGGATTAAGGTGGGGGATAGTGTTAACTGCAGATTTAGAGTCTAGGGTAGGGCTAGGGTCAAGACTGGGGCTACAGTCAATTTGAATACTGGGATCGTTGTTGGGGTTGGGGCACGGGAATATTTTCCCCTTTCTAGAATTGTGCGCAGGTCCACCCTCATTACTTGGGTGAGACGTGCCCACTCGCGTATCTTGTTTAGGGGGACACATAAGTCAGTCCCACCGAAATAACCACTGAAATTAGGCACAAGACGCCTCATACTATGAAATTACAGTTTTGTTGGAGTAACAGAAGCATTGGGAGTTTCATTACAATCCGAAGCACGCCTAAAACTTTAAACTAGCCTATATATGACCAAAAATGGCCGTATTTATCAGTTAGCCCGTCCTTAGTACCATGCTGACGGGATCGGAAAACTTTTCGTGATTAAGACCTAGCTTTTGCCATGTTAAAAAGACTGCCCTAAATCCGGCCTGGAATGTGGCGTCTAATAAGACTTCCTGGACTGTTTTGTGCTTTCCTCTACTTTTGATTTCCCTCGTGGTTTTTATGGGTTTCTGCCTTTGCTATTAACATGCCTCTGAATTCTCCTTCGCCAACGTGCCCTAAGTCATGCCGATGAGTTTTTTAAATTATGAATTTGCAAACACTATTACCTACGCTTCAGTGTTTAAAATTCAAATCTTCTCTCCTTGCCGTTACTTAGCGCAGCTAGTGATTATGTCAAACGGAAAATTTTAACCAATCTTTTTTCCGCGCACTAGACTTGTCCTTCAATAAAATCAGCAAGATAGAGAACCTGGAGAATCTGGAAAACCTTGAGGACCTCAGCCTCTTCTCCAACAGCATTTCAGTGATTGAAAATCTGGACAAAAACACGAAGCTTCGATTTCTCTCTCTCGGTAGAAATAACATAAGCAGTCTGAAAAATGTAAGCTGCCCAGGAGTCGTCCTAGTGCCCTTATGTCTGAGTTTCAGTCGTCAACTCTAAGGGTTAAGGGGAGAAGTCCCAAACACCAGCTAAGCAGAACAACCAGAAGCAATGTGATAACGGCAGTACTCTTATTTCCTTTTAAGATTCTCTATCTGCGACAGTTCAAACACCTGGACTGTCTTACTATCGATCATAATCCGTTGTGCGACGAAGATGGCTATGAGAACTATATATTCGCTTTTCTCGGGAAGCTAAAGTATCTCGACTACAAATACATTCTGCCTCAATGGGTAAGGCAAAATGGCCTTTGAGTGTTCTCCATCTTGTTTCACTGCTCATTGTTTGTTGAACGGATTGTAGAAACCAAACAATCTTCGTTAGAATAACTAAGGAAATGTTCATGGTTCCATGGGAATTTACCCAAAACACCATTATCCACCCCAGTCAGAAGCCAGCTTTCGAATTTTCCGGTTAGCACCAGCTGAAATTCAGCGGTCTAAGTCTTTGTCTAAGCTCTGCTGGGTCGTGAACCCATTGCGACTTGTTTGAGATTTTGGGCGACTCAAACTCCTTTGCCCTAGTTACTTGAGTAAAATTTCACTTTGTGCAACTTTATATGCGAAAATTTGTGACGTCAGTAGTTTGTGAATGCAACCGAGTACAGCGGAAATTTGTCTTCGAATTATTGGATGCGTGTTTATACATAAGATAAAGTAAAAATACATTTTTCTCTCACGCTCCATGTTTTAAGTTCGTTCCTTGCACAACTAATGATTTCGTACACCGGATGACCAGTCAAGTGTTTTAAACGTTTGAATCACTAGGAACCATGGCTGCAGGATAGACGAAAAAGTTCAACTCTAATCTGACTACTTGTTGCAGCCCCTTGAGCCCGCTATGTTTGTCCAGAGAACTGAAGGAATCTGGGATTAGGCGAAGCAGATTTAGATATATGCCTGTTGACAATCTTTAGGTTGAAAACTTTTGGTTAAAATCGAGTGGTGTCCAATCATACATGGATCAAACGACATAATACTAAACGACATACACTTTTAGCACACTAAAGCCAGTCTAGGCATTACAAAGTACACGTACCAAATGCCTGACCACGATGAATATTTTAGAGGGCTAAAGCCTATGACAAGTACCAGATTGCAGTTGACCAAATGAATGAAGCGCAGTTGGAGTACGAAGAAAGGGTGGTGGAGGCTCACAAGGAAGCACTCTTTTTGGAAGAATGCAAAAAAGCCTTCATCGATGAAATAATTGGAGACAACCTATTTAATGCAATGTTCGCAAAGGACAAAGATGGACAGGCATTAATCAAACTCTCTTCAGTGGCAGAGCTGGTCGATCAGTATCCTTTGCCTTACCTGTGAATGAATTGTCTTTTTTAATGTTGCCTTTTTGCTATCTTAAGGGGAGCAGTTTTCAAGGACTCTATACTTATTTAACCCGAGACATTTTCCTGTACGACACTGAGCGTGCTGAACTGACTGTTGGATTGATTGTCCACGATTGGACAATTGGTATCCAAAGGTGCTAGAAGGTAATTCGTAATAAGTGCCCTCGGACACTCGGGTCCCGTAGTTTACCAGCATGCTGAACATCTGAACTTTGTTGAAGGGGATCCGACGGTGATGGGTAATCGGGGCGTTAGGATGACTAACGAGCGTTTACTCGAACGACAATCAATTCTATAGTCGTTAAGGATGCTCGCTGACTTGGCGAACAAAAATTAAATGTGAGGACGCGCAAAAGGACTCATTCAAATGCCTTTTAAAGTGAACCGAATAGGGAAGGCCAAGAAAAGTGGACAAACACGCAAGACTGGAGTGACAAAGACATACGCAGTCAACATTTGACCCAACTCAAATTGCCGCTTGTCAAAATGGCCTTAGCTTTACTTGGAGCCTTATTATACTCGTCAATGTCACAGCGCCAATGTCTCTCACACCAAATAGTCACTATTTCTGAAGAAAATTATCACGTTTGCTCTCATTTTGACTGCGTAGATGATAAACACCAGGAGCATTGACCACGTGGCTGTCTGTCCACACTGGGATACCACATTCCTGGTCTGAACTGGCACTGTTCAAAATAGTCGATTTCCTCACAAGACGAGTCCAGAATAAGTGCAGCTGGTCAAAAACTGTTCTGCTGCTCTTGCTTGCACACGGCTTTGGCAACTTTGGGGTTCATACACTCATCTGTGCATGCACGACAAAGACACTTTAAAGAACCCTCTGAAACGACTGCAAGTCAATCCGGAGACCCGGAAGGACCTCGCCCAGAACAGACCGGCATGGAGGAGGGAAATGAAGACTGGCGCAGCCATCTACAAAGCAAATTGGATCGTCGCCGCCAAAGCCAAAAGAGAGGCTCAAAGGTCACAAGTTCCTCGACTCCTCACTGTCAACAGTCAGACGCTTCCGAGATGTCCACGCTGCCGCCGCGCATTCCGCGTGCGGATCGGCCCCGGAGGACGACTTCGGACGCTATGCGCTAACGACCCGACAAGTCTGCCTCCTCTACAACTCTTGCCTCTGCCGCTAACTCCGTGCCGACCGCCACCCTCGTCACCGCCGATCGCACGTCGCTGTCCCGCCGCCACCATCTGCACTACCCCAATCCCTGCATCGATCGCAGCGGTCAGCACCACCACCACTATGTCTTCACGCACCCCTCCCCCCGCCGATGGAACGACGGCCGACTTCTCGTCAACTTCAAATGTCATCAACACCCCCACCTCCAGCAATGTGGATTCGGTTCATAGCTGTCCTCATAGCGATCGCACATTCACCTCACACTTCGGCCTGGTCGGTCTCTTGAAAATCCATCTCACAGAAGTTGGCAAACCAGTGCCTGGAGCATCCTTCATTACATCCATCTTCACGTCCACATCTCCCACGAACATTCATGCACCTAATGGGCCTACTAGGGCACATGCGCACTCGTGAAAACCCGTGATAGACAACCGCTGGCAACACCACATCATCACACTTTCCTCAACCAGCACCCGCACCTCCCAACAGCATCACCCACCACAAACACCCAATTGCCACTTTTCGTGCCTGATCTCACTCTTTTGTGGAGCACACGGCACACATCCTCGGCAACGGCGGTCGAAATGCCACATTGCTTCAGCACATTCTGGGCCCATACGTTCATCTCTGCGTGCATGTAATTCTTTACTAAAAACGCACACAACTGCTACATCACCTTTTCCCGCGCCCTAAAACCCTCAAACCAATACTTTCGTGTGCATATATGACCCCATAACTATTTCCGTAACTGCACCTAGCAGGTACTAGACGCTAGCCAAGGGGCAAAAAATCATCATCAATCGGCTGGCAGGTTCATTTACACTTTTCAGGGGAATTGGAGATTTATGTTGACCCTGAGGCATTTTTCCTCATGTCGATTCAGCACATTCTTTACCACACTAGCTTTGACGCAGTTGAACCTATCGTAACGTGTCAAGGGTTCTGGCTGGTAGGTTTCCAGCTGTTGAGACGACTCAGCCCCGCTTTGGAATGAAAACAAAATTGCAACAATCCCCTTTATGTGGTCTTTATAGAGCACATGAGGTTTGTGAAGCCTAAGCCCAAGTCTGACACGCGTTAAATGGAGCCCTTACATTACTGCATCCGATCCCCTCCCCAGTAGGCTTGACTCAGGCACGCCGCTGACACAAGGGAGAGGGAGAAATGCATGAGGTCCAGAAGAAGATTGGGCCTTTTGTACAAATAAGAACAGGTCCCTCGTTTCACTAAATATTATGTACTTTTGGACTATCCCAATGCCCTTATAGTCGTGACTTAGAGAGTTTACAACTGGTTATCTTATTTACTCCCTTAGGCTGGAAACTAATTTGCAATGACTACCTCTTAGTGCCGCCTGTATTGCAGCTTCCTTGGAAAGGAGAATAGCCTACAGTTGCTACTGAAGAATAACCCATATTTGTAGGTGTCGGCACGCCCCCAGCACGCATAGGCGGATGCCGGACTCCACGTTTGCCAGTGCGCCCAATCTATCCTCCAGCTGGCCTAAATATAAATGTCTACTATAGTTGGAGAAGGCAGACTGAGAATGCGAGCTATCCATCCCGAAACGAATGTTTGGCTGTCTCATTATAAACAAATAACCGTACTCTTAAACTAACCCGAAGCGTTAGTAGTTGTGACTTTTAAAGTCTTCACCTGACGAGACAACTGCTTCATCCTGTGGTGGTCCTCATATTGCGATGCCTACTTAGTTTGGCCTCTATGACAGCCGCACACGTGTTAGGATCATAACCTTCCTCGAAGGTGAATTTGTGCGGTTTTTGAACAACCACACGCTTGTTACGTGAGGACGGTGTGGTAGACCGTTGGTTACTGGGTTCATAGATAGTACGTGATCTATCTTATGGGACTTGTTTGTAACTCGCCACACCTGTCATTACACTAATTCTTAAAGGATACTTAAGTGCGAACTCCACTAAGAGACCATTTTCATGTATTATTTTATTTTAACTGTTGTATTTACTCAGTGTTTTGCATGTACAGGCTTTCTGCACATGCAAAACTGAAGTTTGGATGATTACAACCGTTTCTGACTTTTTTGAAATTTTCCGCTTTTCTAATGAAACTGCTATTTCTAAACAATTTAACACTATTTTTAATATTTCTTTTGCGTTTTCAATTCCCTCAAAGCTGTCCATTAGTAATATAGGTATTGGTTTAATGCATTGGTGTCGGTTTGCGAGTGAGTAGCCGTCATGAGTAAATTTTGACACCTTTCACCAGTTAGGTTGTGGCGACTAGCCATCCTGACTGGTCTGGCGTCATTGTTCAAGACCTCGCTGTCTCAAGGTCATTCACCCCTTGCAGCGAGCCGTCCCAGACGAGCTGACCTGAAGTCACATGACCAACAGCTCGGGCATACCTGCGTCCGCGCAGTCGCAGCTGCCCATGCGGCCACTTGAACGCGCCACCCCCTGCAACCAGCAAAACAAGCTACTGGGACACCACCCCTCGGCAAATGCAACACACGCTGACTGGACACCACTTGAGCTTGGCCCATGAGCCTACAAAAGCGGCTGCCACCACTATCTCAGGGACTCTCAGGCATGACTGGACGCAGTCAACATCAGCCCTGGCTTCGCCAGTGGCCACTGTCGCCTGAGAGGACAACTCCGGGTTCTGTGCACAATAAACTCCTTATTCTGGTCCTCTTTGTCTTCTCCCTTCAAACACTGGGATCTGACCCGAGGATGGTAGCACACAGACTGCACACACTCTCACCGCGTAACCACGACAATTGGTGACAAATCCGACGTGATCGACGCGCAATCAGCAGATGTGGCTAAACTCAACCGCCACCAATTTCCCACTCAACTTCGCCCTGTTGTTTTTCCTGTGTCACTCATCGTGCCCATGGATAGGAAAACGCAATTGCGTCACCTTGTCGCGATTCCAGGTTGAAGTTGTCTACAAAGCTCAGCCATACAAGTCCACGTCAATCCTCAATCAAACTCTGCAGACCAGACCTCCAAATGTGTTGCCATCTGAATGCCTCTCGCTTGTCCGTGACATTCTTCCGCCCATTACCGACGAAACCATCATTCGTGAGTTACTTGCATACACTCAATATGCTACGCCACAAGGTCACGCATTGTGCTTTTCTACTAGTGTTAACTTCAGCCAGGATGGGCCTACAAAAGTCTGTTTCATTATGAACAAACTCAATTTAGACACATAACTGAATTTTAGACGTGGTGATAATGATCTCAGGCGCTCATCACGGACGAAGTATCATTTGCCATCTGAGAGAATCCCAGTTATCCACCGAATGATTTTGCAACACGACAACTTACATTGAACTACTGGTCGTTGGAAACACTATGCTGCCACCAATTACTACTAAGCAATTCTCCGCACCCTTGGTATGCGAAATGCGTCAGTAACCGAAATAAAGCTAAATAGAGTGGTGGAGAGCAGGAATTTCACGTTCTGAATGAACTTTTGCATAGAAAAAAAGAAGTCGACCCTTGTGGAGAAAGTACAGTTTGCATAACTTAGCATTTATTTTCGCCCTAACGACAAGGGAAGGCGTGAAATTATCTCGAAGCAAAACACTGTCATAGACCGGTAGTCAAGAGCCCCTTCAGTTATCCCGGACCAAAGCAGCAAGAGAGCAAAATCGAACATTTCAGCAGACCCTTAGAATATTTTACTATTTCACTTTTAAAATATTAACGAGTACAGTCAGTAAAAGTCGCGTTAGCTGTTGTTCTGTTATCACAGTGATAAAAATGCTGCGAATGAGTAGTTCAAAACTTGGGCTTTTTCAGAGCCATGGTTTAGTTAGCACTTTCTTGAGGAAAAGCATTCTGTCATCCTTAACATTGCAACTTACCCATGTACCGCGAGAAGTGTTCAGATGCCTGCAAACAGCTCTTCCTGACAGGACAAGAAGAGTATATGAAAAGAAAAAGTGAGGAAGACTGCCTTCGATCGTGCATAGAGGATGCTAAGCAAGATAGCAAAAGAAGAGCTTTGGAGTCCACCGAGCAGTACAAAGAAACGAAAAAGACGGTATGAATGTTTGTTTGATTTTGTTTTTCTAACGATGATTTAAATTGGAGATTAATCGTACGTCCGGAAGGCGTGTTCGGACAAACGTAAAATGAAATTGCATACACCGACTTAAGTTGGAAGTGCGATCTTCCGCTCCTCCTCCACATGGCCTCTACGGCAGTAATACATATTCGAGACCCGCATCACCCACCTGGCGTTGCGTGGGGCGAACAGGCCGCGGGTGGCAGGCGCAGACGGGCTATTTTTGCCCTGTCAGTTGTTCCTCCCGATCTCCACATCAGTTGACTGGCTGGTCCGGACGATCGATCAATGCATGTGGGGTAGGGAGGAGGGATCGAGGCTCGCTCCGGAGCCTCCATCACCATGGTACTTCTGCATATTCTTTATTATAATAAATCTAATGCGCTGAATCTATCCCAACGTGCGGAACATCGTGGATTTTAAGGTTGTCAACTGGTAAGACCTCGCAATCGGCCCTGCATGTTTTTGTGTGGAGCGGTGGACTGTGAGCCAGGCTCGCTGGGTCCTCCTTAACAATGTCTCTGTGGAACTTTCACGCATGCGATATCTGAGCCGCCCATTCCTTCATGCTGAAAACTGTGGTGTAGATGGCCAGTTCGTGGGTGCGGCATGCGCAGACGGGGTATTTTGTGCTGTCAGCCACTTGTGCACCAGGTCTACGCAGCAGATGATCGACCGGCTTGGACAGTTGACTGATGCCTGAGAGATGAAAGAGAAAGTTACCTCAGTTCTGGTGACTGCGTCTCTACAGCACTTAGCGCGTACTCCCTGCTATGCTCAATTTGACTGGATTTAAAACTATCAGGGTGCACTAGAACTCGTGGCCTGGAAGGCTGACAACTGATAAAATAGCTCGGTCCTTCTTTCAGAAGGGAGACCCGGGCAGCAATGGTTCCTTTTTAATGCGCTCCCCGCGGCGCTCCCATTCAGTTGGGATCTGAGCCGCCCTTTTCATTTTTGTGTGAAAGCCTTGTCCATTGTGCGCGGACCAGGCATGTGTGGCAAACGCAGGCGGATTGCCTAGCTTTGCCAACTGCAGTGCCCAATGTCGCACACGGTCTTCTTGACTATCTTGACACCGGACTTATATGGGCAAGGAAGGGGAGAGTACGTAGATGCAGAGCAAGTCTACGATCACGATAAACTAAGTCACCCGCCATACACCCAACCTGCGGTGGGGCACATGGTTGACATAGTCGGTAACGACGGTCGAATTGTCATGTAAGAGCGAACTAAGGTCATACTTGTGCGATCTCCCCATACACGGACTGTTTTCGAGTTTCCATCACTAATCTTTGTGAGACAGAAGACTCTAGATGCAGAAATACGTAAGAACCGGACTACTGTTTTTCCCGCCGCCTACTCGACAAGACAGGGATCTGTCTTACAGTGCATCCGCATGCGTTATAAATTCAAACCAAACCTAATAAAATATGTTCGGCCAGGCACATCATACTGAAAAATTGTAATTTTATCGGAGTAAGGGGGAATTTTCGAGTTTGCAAAACAATTCGGAACGTACCTAAAACGCCAAATAGCCTACACAGGACTATAAAATGCCGTATTTATAAGTCAATCTTCCCTCAACGAAGCACTGTCGGCATCGGAAAACCTTTTCGTAATCAAAACCTCGCACCGACGAGCACAGATTATCTCCAAAAGTGTCAGACACACCTGACATGCAAACATAAGTAATTTCATGTAAGTTAAAGTTGTTCAGTTTGTTGATTTTGGTATCTTAATCTCGATGCTCTTGCTTGCGAACACAGTTTAGACTATCAATTTTCCTTTGTAGTCTACTGGGAACGGTTATTTTAGACATGGCCATGGTATTTATTCAAAAATTTAAAGAAGGCCTTAGATTGACCTGATGTCATCCAACAAACGTCCTACTTCAGATCAAGAAAAAGCTTGATGGTCTCTACCAGGATTCTTTTCCCGAGGTTGCGGAAGCCCTTCTGTCTGACCTCCGACAGGCAATCTATGAACTGTGGAATGATCTCATGGGCAATGAGGTCTCATTAGTTGATCAGTTGGAGGAAATTATCACCGATTTTGGAAGAAACATGTCGGAAATGGTTTCCGGATTCACGGAAAGCGTCCAAGTAAGGCGGCGTTTTACGATGAATAATCATGCAGCATTAGCTTTTATCGACACAACCTACCAAAGTTAATCTCCGTTTGGTATTTTGCAAAATTGCTAGTTCAAGTATCGGCCCCTCGCATCTCCGTTTCTTATTCAAGAATATCGCTTGACTAAATACTAAATACACACTGCTAGTATTAGATGTTTGAGCAAAGTAGAAGCTCGGATGTGCCGAAGATTGTAGTATTAAAGAAAATTCGGGATAGCTGCCGACCGGAAAGGTCCAAAAGGGAGCAACTAAAACTTAGAATTTAAGCAAGGCAAAAGCGTGTATAAGGGCTTGGTCAGTGTAAAATTGGAAGTTTGGCAGTTAACTATTTTGCAGAGAGTGCTAATACCGCAATATGTTTCAAACTTCCCAAAGGTTTGTTTCTCGAAAATTCGCGAATCAGCAGCCAGTTTTAACGAGCGATTGGCTGAAATGACTCTAACCTACGCCGAAAGACTAGCTAAGACGGAGCAACAACAACAGAAATCCGACCATGAAGCTTCTGTAAGTCAGTTCCCTATTGAATTCTCCCCCGAGGAATATCATGAAGGCGCAATCACGCATAATCATGCGTAATTTTTGCAAAAATAACTCCTAATTTAACAACTACTGTCTCCACGTGTCAAAATCACAGCAAACTACCTTTTGATGAGTATGAGTGAGTACTTAACAAACTGATGTTTTAGGGTAATTTCTTGCCATAGATTACTCAATTTCATCTGCTGAGGGTTTAATAAGGTCATGCATGCTGTGAAAATGCGCCCCCCAATTTATTATTGTAGATCTATCTGGATAGAGACAATTTGGTAAACGCCCTTAATAATTCAAAGGAAGTTCACGTTGCAGTCATTGACAAATGCGAGGAAAACGTCAACAAGAATTTGAAACAGTGGCTGGAGAATCTAATTGAGGATCTGCACCAAAAGGAAGAGTATGAACGACACACCAATCGAGTGATTGAAATAAACATGTTTATTGATGACCAGAGGGTCGATCTGGAGACCAGTGAGCTTCCTCAGATCTAGTGTGCGATAAAAATCAGTACCGCAGGTGACCGGCGCAACAAATGTCATGCACAATGGACCAAAAAGGCATGTTTCCACACGTTATTTAATCAAATATACCTGATTGTCAAAAAATTATTTTATGTCCAAAATTTATTGTCCGAAAGCTAAGTTTCCAAATTGACCGGATGCGGACATTAACATCACACATGAGGGCACCCATAACTCGAAAACATTGATTTTAGCGGGCAGAAAATCAAATACGGGTTACAAAATGAAGCCCTCTGGTGACCCCTATAGAAGAAAAAACTCGCAGGTAATCCGATCGCACGATAAATATCTCTAATGATTTGGAGGACAGTATGTGCAAAAAGTATTTATTCCCCTCGGAAGTCAACAAAACTAGAGAAATCCCAATGCGTTCTCTGGACGTTTATTCTATGTGAAGAAACGGCATAAAATATACACTTGTATCCGCAGAATGACGACGAGGCAAATAGCACACCATTAATGCGGTGGCCGTGGACGTTAAGGACAGCATACAACGAGGCACCGAAGTACTGGGATTAGATCCTAGCTATGACCGGCTTGAACAGAGTCGTCAACGCATCAAAATATTCATCCACACGAAAGAGAAGAAGTAACGTTAGGTAGGCATTAAGGTATAGTGGGAAGAGGTAGAAACTGGTTTTACATATAACAGTGGTTACCTATACAAACGGGATGAGCTACAGCAAAAACGTGACCTGTCTGGATGGTTAGGCGACACTGACACGCCTGTTAAACAACCGATGGAGAACGTAGCGCTGTGGGCAACTGCAGGGGAGGGCCGAGGGAGGTGCCGACACAGATAGATAGATAAAAGGAGAGAGTGAGAGAGAGAGAGAGAGAGAGAGAGAGAAGCGAGCGTTACGGCGAGTTGTGGAAAGGGGGTCGGCGGCAGAGGATGAAGGCGCACTGGCCATTTTCACAGACGCGCAGTTTCACCACCATCATTGGTCCGCGCTGGAAGTTTCACTTCACTCAAACAACTCTATGCAGGTCGTGAGGCGTCACACTACGGCACGCAACTACCTGACGATAAATGTACAACAGACATCTTTGTCTAGCGATACGGATGTCATTGTTAACCACCCAGGCCATTATGTATAACTTTCAAAGAACAGTAAGTACTGAGCAAGAGATGACTGTAGAATCTCACGAAGTCAGTCCCCACCATCAAGGTAAAGCCGTTGTTTGCAGGTCATCTTATGTTTGCAATTTACTGCGCACTATGTAGCTTTGTCTCAAAATAGATGACCAGCCGCTCGCAAATGTCTGCGACTTCAGTCAACCGGTACAAGCTCCTGTCCGAGGAACCAAGCGAAACGGCGGTTGGTGGGGTGCTAGAGGACCTAGTCGATCGATAACGTGATCCCATGCTAAGACCAAGTCGAGAAATGTTAAGCGAAACGATCACGCCAGAACTGACTCAACTGTCAACGCCGCCCAGAAAAGAACAAAGGCAGGGGTTGAAAAGTCAGCTAGTCAAACCGAAACTCACACCAGTTGGAGTCTTCGCGCAGTCGTTACATAAACACCAACTTAAACAAATGTGAATCAACGTGAGCTTAGGAAATGCTCAACAAAGAGAATAATTGCAAAAAGTTTTGTATAAGCAGGGATATGACAAAGGGTTCCCAAAGTACCCTCCGCCTAGACCGAAGGCCGGCGTAAAAAGGACGCCGGAGTTAAATGCAATGTCAATACACCTGCGTAATAAGGCGGTCGGGAAGGTGGACGCGACGGCCACTACGAGTGGTGCGAATTCTAGTGACATTGGAAGAGTTAGGGTGGGAGGCGGTGGGGGGAGTGGGCAGGGAAGGTGGAAGAACATGGGGTAGGAAAGTTGGAGGATCACGGGGTAGGGGGTCAGCACAGTCTTGTCCTCTAGGCAGGTCCGGCGGCTTTCCTGCGACACTGACCACGTCCTCCTTTTCACCACGAAGGAGCCGGCAGGTCTCGTTATTGTGCGCGAGCACACGAAACGGTCCATCGTATGGGGATTCCACCGGCTGGCGCACACGGTCACACCAAACAAACACGTAAATTCAGTTTTTCGACCTTTTTAGACATAGGACTCTGTCGTTGGAGTTCGAGGTGAATTCGGGAAAGAGGAGCGCGTAAATTGCCGCAGACGGTGCATTAAATTGTCAACAGTCTCGCCGGCACCACGGGAGGCTGGGGGTGACCATCTCGTTTGGCAGTGCCGGAAACGATTCATTTACACGGCAGCCCAAATCCGACTTCAGAGTAGCACGAATGCCGAGGAGGGCAAAGGAAGGCTGTCTTACCAGTTTCCTGGATCTTTTGCGGCACGCAGAACAGTCTTTAGCTGCCTATGTAACGCTCAAACATGAGGTTAGCAGGTGGATAAAAGGCTGTCGTCCAAATGCGTGTGCAGCCAAGAAAATTTAGGAACATTTGGAAGAGTGCAGACTCAAATTTGGTGGCATTATGAGCCGTAACCGTGGAGGGGCACACAACATCGCGACCCAACCCCTGGCGAAAGCCTTCACGATATTTTCAACATGCACATTCGGCAAAGAAATAGCTTAAGCCCAGCGCGTGTACCGGATAAGGCAGGTAAGAAGGTTAGTATAATCACTAGATGGAGGCAAGGGACCTACGACATCCAGGTGCACATGGCGGAACTGTGCGTCGGCGCTGGGGAAAGCACCTAGTGAGGACTTGTTGTGACGTTGCACCTTGTTGCGCTGGCAATTCAGACACGAACGCGCAAGCCTTGACGTTCGTGTTCATGCCAGTCCAGACAGACCTCTTCACAAGGAGCTTTTGAGAGGCCCAGATCCCAGGGTGTGAGAGTCCATGCAGAGTTCGAAATACAGCTCGACACATCGATGCGAGCACGAAGGGGTGGTGAAAAGGAGCCGAGATATCACAAAGTCTGTTACCAGTACCGGCGTTCAAAGGAACGTCTTTGAGTTGGAAACTACTAACGGACTCGTCGCCCGGGCTACCGACTCGTTGTTGCTCAGCCGCCATAGTGCCAAGGTGGATTCCGTGTGAGAGTTGGATGGAAGATAATTAGGCTTGGATAACATATCGGCCACCTCATTCTTCGTGCCATCAATGTGGCGAATGCCGGTGGTGAACTGGGAGATGTAGTCCAGGTGAGCGACCTCTCTCGAATTGCACTTGTCGGAGTGGGAACGAAGAGCAGACGTCAGCGTCTTGCGGTCCGTGGAAACGGCGAAGTCCCGACCCTCAAGGAAATGACGATGATGTTTCACAGCCAGGTAAATGGCGAATATTTCATAGACAAAGGTACTGTAGCGGGTCTCAGCTCCGCCGACTGCCTGTCGCTGACGTGGACAGTTTGATAGCGACCGATCAAGAGGCTTTGAATCTACCTCAGGAGATTATCCCCAATGCCAGTGTGACTTAAATTTTGCAGGAGACGCTGATGCGACGCACTATAAAATGCATTCTTAGCGTCGACAGGGACTGCGTGCACAACATTCCCGCCATCGACTACTCGGGTCCAGCTTTCCAAACAAAAGTGCACGTTTGTCAAGCCCGATCTATCTCTTCGGAATCCGTGCTGGCGTCACACAGCAGATTATGCTGCTCCAGGAGGTGCATTATTTCTCGTTTAAGTATTGTCTCCATAATTTTTCAGCAAATTAAGGTAATGTTAATTGGTCCGTAGTTATTGAAGTCAGTGTATTAAGGGAATGAGACTTTCGCCTTTGAGCGCCGTATTTATATCGGTAAACAGAAATATAACCAGTTGTTACATCAGCAAATGTGGAACTTCAAAAATTAGCGATAAGTGTAAACCAGACGCAAACTGCTGCCGCTAAGACAACCGTGTTTATATGTACAGTATTTTCTCAGCAAATGAGCGTCTAGGCTGCAGTTAAAGGATTCAACGGGTTCGTGAAGGACAACCGAACCAGGGAGTCCGTCCTACACCCCAATGATCCTGTGAGAGAAGGCGTTCCGTCGGAGGTCTGTTTGGGCTAGCTTCCTCTTCAGTTTAAGAGGATGGCCACGCAGACGGTCACTTCCAGCCAATTCGAAGAATTCATCAAAGTCTAGGACGCACTCATGGCATATGACAATGCTGTAGGTTTGAATGAGATCGCCGCGCAGTTGTCCGTAATTGGGAGGAAACAGATTTAGTTTGACCAGCCTGGTTTCATAAGGCAGATGATCAAGATCCTTGACCATCTTCGTAGCTATCGTCTGTATTCATTCGAGTTATTCGCGCGCGCAAGGTCAACGCGCGCAGCACGATTTTGGAAAGATTAATGAAAGTTTTATTTTTGAATCCTATCTCTTAATCTCTTGCACAGATTTCCGGTGTAGATCTGACCAAATTTCATATTTTTTGTCATAAGTCATCTTAGATTCTCGTCCTGTTTTGAGGATTTATCATAAAGCAGAACTATAGTGTCATAGTTTTTCACCCAATATAGCCTCTACCCTATAAAGTTTTACCCGCTAATATAGAAGGATCTCCTCGTAAAATTTGGAATAGCATTATATTTTAAGCGATAAACCGTCTCAACGGGCCGCTGTTATCGTCGCTTTATCGACTAGTAAGAGAACTATACTGTTCTCTATTTTATCCTTCATAGCCTCATCATCCAATTCGAATTTACTCACGGTTTTGTTTAGCCACCTACATAATTGCCATTTATCCGTTTTTATACGTTTGTATTCCGTTATTGAGTTAAAATTGTTAACTATCAATTGTGCTGTCTGGGCCACCAACATTGATAGCTTTCAGAAATCGTTTCATCATACATAGCCTCATTCATATCTCCTTGAAGTTTCGGCAGCTATCATCACTATAATTTTGTGGTCTAAAGTATTGTTTTGCTTTTTCCAAATAACACCTCTGAAGGATACTAAACTCCACTTAAAATCCATTGCACCTATGAAGAAAAAAGATCTGGGGGCGCTCGATAATTTTAACAATTTTATGTCTCGTTACGGATCAATTTTTTCTG